CCACTCAGCCGCCTCCTCCCACACACACACTAAGGGGTTAGCCCCCTCTCTCCACGGGCCCCGTTTACCCCGGCTGTGCTGGGGGTCGGCGGGGGGCTCTGCGGCTGCTGGAGGGTTTTGGGGGGCTTCTGGGGGGCTTCGGGGGAGCGGGAGCGCAGCGAGCTTTCACCCGCGCATCTCTCGCCACTTCCAAGCCTAACTGGGCTTTTTTCCTGGTCGGCGGGCCCTTTTAAACTTCTGCCAGTTCAGTTTTCAATGATGCTGAAGAAAATGCTGCATCGTCTCATATTCAATTCATTGTTCTCTTTTCACTGCTTACTTTGCAGAAATACATTCTGCTTGTCTGAAAGTAAGAAAATAGCATTCCCACACTAGTCCCAATCATTTGTGCTATAGGATACATATTCATGAAAGTGTTTCTCAATATATTTATGCAGTTATAATGATGATATGGCCACCTAATTTTGACCTACTGGCTGCAGACATGGCAAGAACCATGAGAAAAAAACCCCAATATATTTAATGGGTTAGTTGTTCTCCAAGAACTTTTCCTCGTGCACCAAGATAAATACATCTTATTCTGTATTTATCTTCAAGTTTGTTTGTACTCTGATACTAGTTCTGTAAGTTTCCACCAAAAGAAAACAAGCAGTGATTACATAGTTTCATACATTTTCAGTCTCTTACTATTGTTAGCATCTCACTTGATTATTCCAAACTGCTGACAATTGGTAAAATCATTCAGCTGACAAATAAAGCTATTGTCACCACTGCAACCGATAACTTTTTTGAACAAGAAATACAGACACTGCATTTTACTTGGCAATATCTGAAAAAACAAGTACTTCTGATCATGTTATAAAATCACAGAAGGGACATTTAGCATGAACAACCTAAGTTGATGCCTTCTAGACAGTTAAAAGTATGCAGCTCTTAGAGTTTGTATGTCCCAGAAGTGAAGATTGGCACATAAAATTATTAAATAATATGTTGTTTCTATAGTTAAAATATTACATTTTTTAAACACAGCAACCAAAAAGCAAATATGATTCAAGCAGGAGTCGGTATAGTTACATGTTGGTAACATTTTTTTTCATTTTTAAGTGAGGCATGATTCTACTCCTAAGATCAGTTTCCAGTGTCCCATAGTCTGACCTGTGACTGTTGCCTTCATCGCTATTGCCTCGATACTTTTTGTTCCTCCACCATTTTACTGTCTTCTCTTTTTTTGTATCTCAGACCACCCTTTATCTACACTTTTTTCTTGACTACTCTCCATTTTGCTGTATGTGTCGAAAAAAAATCTAGTTCTTGTTCTAATAATTCAAATTCTTCACTATTGCAGCTGTCCTCTCTAATAACCTCTTTTACATAAAGTAGCCTTTGTCTCTGTTTTTTCATTAGCCTCTTTTACACATCCCAAGCCATTTATGCATTGATCCATTTTCTAATTTGGATAGCAGGTTTTATCTTCTTTCGTACTTATCGATATGTTACAATATTTACTGTTAAAGTGAAAATATTATTTTCAAATAGTTTATCAGATCTGAATGATTTACCTGAAAATGTTATATTGAAGCCTTCATAAGAGATTGAGAAGTCAGATATAAATCGAAGCTGTGCAGTGAAGTTTCCAAAGAGGCCAGCTTTAATTGTCGGGGGCAAGACCAAGCCAGTTAATCTTGCCACTGGTTCTGTGAAGCTGCCATCTTCAGCGATGAGCAAATAGTCATGAGAGCTCTCCAGATGAAATGTATGAAAGGCCAGCTGTACTCCTTAAAAATATATATATATAAAAAGGCATGGGAGGGTTAAAAGCAAGAATTTAGACTTGCAATACAAGGCACTTAGTCCAGCTAATTTTATTTCCCTTTAAACACACACGTGATACAGACTACAAATCATCAAGCAATGTGGAAAGTAATCATAGGCTAAGATTAATGCTATATCCAAAGAGAAAGATTTTTTAAAATATCTTAATTGATATAGGAATGGAATATATGTCACAGAAAAACAAGTAGTTCTTTAATTCATTTGGAGACACACAGAGAAGCCATGAGACTTAATTATGAATGCATACAATACTTTCAATTATTAATTGTTATTTATCTGTTTGGAGTACAAAGAGTATTATTCTTTCACCTATACAGAGTATTCCTAAACACATATACTATATATTATAAGTAGGCCTACAGATGATAGGTTTGAATAAATCTGAGTGCATTTGTTATGAGCAGACCCATATAAAACATGATCCTTTTGTACAGGAAAATGGATAATTTTAGGACTGGTGAGGTTGTCAATCAGTAACCTGATTTTCTGACCACTCTGGGCATCTCATTGGTTTAGAGGACTTAAAGGATACTAAATCAATGTTTTTACCAACTCACATATAATTTATTTTCTAGTACTTTTAAAAACAAAACAGAAGTCTTAAAACCCATGTGTCTGGTCAGAGACCATTCTCTCACTCCTAAATTTTGGGGGTAGGTTTGGAAGAGGAAAAGAGATTCCTGACAGAGTAATTTTTTGGATCACTAGCAATTGATGACTCTCCTCTGAGGAGTGCAATTGCCATGAACACTATCCACAGATCACTATATTTTCAAGTCCCTCATTTTCGCAACAACTTTCAACCAAATTGCCAAGGTAGTCCCTCATTGTCAATAACTGATAATATGCCAATACAGCAAAAGTTCTGTTGACTGGCATCTTACAAGGCGGCATGCTCAATTAACCAGCATGCCAGCATGTAAGATAAAGTGAAACCGAACGTTTTGACTATGGCACTTCTGGTTTCTCTGAGCCCCCATAGTCCAGGGCAAAGCAGCCTGCACTGCTGAGCCCCCATGGCCTGGGAGCATAACAGGCTATGTGGGGCTGTGCGGGGCCCACCTCCCTGTCGGGGTGGTGATGTGGCAGGAGGTGCAGCGATGTGACGGGAAGGGCAGAGGGACACCCCAGATGCGGAGGGAGAAGTGGTGGCCCAGGCCGCTCAATTAACTGGCGTATTTTGTTATCCAGTATCCCCCATTCCTGGGGGATGCCAGACAACAGAGCTTTTACTGTATTACAGCCAGCCAGCCAGCCATTCCATTTTTGCCCTGAATAGCCAAAAAATGAACAAGTTCTGCCACTTCAGAACTATTTTATTATAGGATCTGCATTGCAACAAGTATTTTGAAACAATTATTCCTTCATTAGCATTTTACAAGTTTGCAAATACAATGCAGGGTTTATTAAGTTTGTAACTGTTAGGATGACAGTATTTGGATCTTGGGGAGCCCTGGATTTACAGCTGAATAAAGGCTTTACTCTGGGTCTCAGCAAAGCTGCTGACCACAAGGCAGAATGATATATTAAAAGTAACATTGCAAGTGCTTAGGCAAGCAGTTTCCTAACAATGTGGTAGTGTGTAGGATACATGATTAATTGTGTAAAAACGAGACAGGATACAGACCAACAGCTATCGTTAGGAGATAAAGCAGAAGCAGGACCTTGGGGATGGTGCTGAAATCAGCAAGAAACCACAGCTGACCTGGTTAATAGTCTTGAGCATACGCTCATTGCAAAAAGGTATGTAAATGGATAAAATGTATAGCAATTCCATGCTAATGAAGTAAACAGTAAACAGAGGCGGAGCTTGAGACAGGAGGAGAGATGGGCCAAACAAAGGTGGGGCAAAGGTGGAGTAAATGTTAATGAGCATGAACCAAGGCATATAAATATGGAAAGAACTAAAGTTTGGGACGGCTCCCTGTTTCTTTGGGAGCTAGTTCAAAGCTGTCTCCGAAGCCGAATAAAGCTGTTGCGAGTAATGTGTGCTGGTGTTTACTCCATGTTTGCTCTCTGAGCAACTGGATCCCTAAGCAATTGGATTGTCATCTCCCTAGTCGTTGGGCGATGCATGGAGTCAGGGTCTAACAGTAACATCAAAATCATCTGTGCTCTTTTATAAGAAGGCAGTTGATCTAATAAGGTAAGCACAAAAAAGGCCTCCCCTCTCAGACATTTTCTGGACCATTACACCTACAACAGGCTAAAAAATAAATACACTAGCTACAGTTAGCTAATATTAAAAAGGAAAACAATTGCTTGTTCATATCTTTGTTAGCTATCTGTAGCTAGTGTATTTATTTTTTAGACTATTGTAGATGTAATGGCCTTTTTGTCCTTACTTTATTAGACCCACTGAGCTGCCTTGTTGGGAGAGAGATTAAATAAACTTTAGTGTACAAAAATTGAAAATTTGGAAAGTACCCAATTTAAAGCACCAAGCACATATTTACCTATATGTGTTCGTGTGTATATCTGTGCATGTACATGCACACACACACATACACACACACACATGCACACACTTGTGTATGGGTACATGTACAAACTACACATAAAGTGTTCCTTGCTTGTCTGTTTTGAATATATTCAGATCATTATTTTTTCTAAGCAGTCACCAATTACAGACCACGATTATTCATCTTGATCACTTTTTGAGGTCTAAAATATTATCTGAATGCATTATATTCTGTGGTAGAAAAAATCCTTTTAGCGAGTTGTTTCATTACATATATTAGATTGGTGCTTGAAGTGTAAAAGCCAAATCCAGTTTATGGATGTCCCATATACAGTTATATGTCCCACACCTAAAATCCAGGAACTTTGGCTGAGAAGACAATTCAATCTGAAAAGATTTAAGTGGCTAGGATCCTTGTACAGTCAATGGGGAGACTTAAGCACCAGAGTTATTCAGTTTCCCTAAGTGTAGGTGCCTATATGCTCTTTCAGAGAACAGGATGTAGTGGGTACCCACAAAAGGTTATTTGGAAAGCAAGGAGGTGCCCAAAGGAAACAAAAAGAAAATAATAAGCACAACAGTATTTCTGACCACCTGCTCTTTTCTTGATTAAGTGCCTAATGCAGCACAGAAGTTACACATAAACCAGTTTAAGTAATAAAAAACTGGTTTAAACCTGTAACAGAACAGATCTTCAGTGCACATAAACAAGTTTGAAAATGGCTGAAACTGGTTTGAGAAACCTGGCTGAATATAGTATCAGATTTAACTGATTTGGGTCAAACCGTTTTATACAATGTCTGTCCCAGACCCCTTGCTGGTTTAAGATAAACAAGACACCTCCAGTATCCTGGCATGCTCTCTGGGCTGGGTGGGGTGCTCTGCTTCACAGCAGGGCTTGCCCCTCCCCTCTGCTCTCTGGCTGCAGCTCTGGCACAGACTGTCGACTGCTCCCCCTCTCCCCTTCACCACTCCCTGCTAAGCAGGAATTCCCCTCTCCCCTCTAACTTGTGGCAGGGTGTTTGTGTATTAGCTAGCAGACCACAGGCTGGTTGCGGTCCCTGTTGAATCAACAGGTAGAATCAACAGGCTGAATCAACAGATAGCTGGTAATGTCCCTCTGTTGTTTTCTTAATAGGGTGATAAACACTGAGCCAGAGGGTGATAAACACTGTTATCAGTTCCCTGCTGGGCTAATCAGAGCATCCTTCCAGGGTTTGACCATGACCGCCCCTCCCCCCCCCCCCCCCCCCCACCCCCTTAGCTGCTGGGGTGGGTGTCAGTGTCTGCATGTCTGAGGGGCTGTTGCAAAGGGCATCAGGAAGGCTGTTGAGATGGGGGGGGGGGGGCAGGGC